CATTCCGTTTTTGGCGTAACGTTGTTCAACGCATATTTCTCGGTTGGAGAGCGCAGACGAGCAGAAAATAGGCGCCAAATAGCGCCAGCGCCGAGAATGAATGTCATATTCGTAATCAGGACACCAAATAACCCCTATACGGAAGTTTACACCAAATTTGGTGAAAACAGGTCGTGACAAGGTGGCGCCAGATGGCGCCACCGCTAAAAATGAAAGTCATTTTCGTAATCAGGGCATCGATTACCTCTATAGGCAAATTTGCGGTAGTTTCTAAGGTGTACAAAGTTACACTGCACGAGCGGAGGTGTTTTTACGTGAAATCGGCGCGGGCTTATCTACCGGAAATTAGGGTAATTTCTCTTCCTAGGGATCGTATTGAAAAAGAATTTGGTAAAGGAAGAGATATCTCGCGACAAATATGGGCGCTACCGCAAGATACGGTGGCACTGTGGTGGCAATGCACTCTGAACCGCGCGAAACATCTCCTTTTTGTTGAAATCGGACTAGGCGTTAGGCGAGGGAAGAAGACTTCTTACGTGAATGAATACTATTTTCACCGAAATTTTTGCCCACTCTTAAGCTTACCCCTAGAGAATGCCCTCGTATCTTGCGATAGCGCCTAAATATGTTTACCACCCTTGTCATCCTTTAATTCGAAGCAGTTTACCACCCATGGTGGTTGAGGAATTCATTGATGGCCTACCGTAGTCTGCCAGTCGTACTGTGTATCAGACGACTAGAGGAAAAAGTGGGAGCGATATTGGAGGCAAGGACAATCATTCACCAGCCTCGAACAGTGCTCAAGTAGGAGAACAGAAGTCGTGATTTCCTGGTTTCCGAGAAATGTAGGCTCAAAAATAGCGTGCCTACTCACAGCTGGCTTTCAGTTGTAGCGATGTTAGTGCCTGTGCTCGCGGTAGTTGTGGTTTTGTTTGTCTCGACGGTACTGACGTACTCCGAATCGGATTCCCATTCTAGAAACTCTTGATAATTTCCGTACGATTCCGATCGTTGGAAGGTCTCCGCTCGAAAGTTACCTCTAGAGTGAACTCACCTGCTCCTCGTCGGTACACTTTTGTCGTTCTTTGGGCATGCATTGCTACCTGGTAATTATATCCTTCGATGCCTCTGTATTTCTTGGGTAAGTTTGGTTGCCAAAGCGAAGGTGATGGCATACCTGTTCTGTTCCTTTTTTCTTGCTGGCCGTTGTAGCACTTGTTTTACTGCCCGTGGTAGCACTTTTCTTGCTGCCCGTCGTAGCATTACTACTGGATGAAGGTGGTTGCAGTTGCTTTCCTACCATAGCCAAGTCGCAGCCGTTCGGCCTTCAACATAAAATAGCAAATGAGAAGTGTGGTTGTTTGACGTTCAGGAATTATCAGCACGCATCATTATATTTGCGTTGTTATTCAAAACAACATCTTTTAGACCCATCCCTGATTGATGGCGAAGTTTTGTGATTTACTGTACTTCCATCTCTGCCTTCAATGCCATTCTTAGGCCGGTGTCGGACTTTGCGAATCCGCGAATTCACTAGCGAATCCACGTAATCGCAAGCCCAACATTGGCTTTATTGTAAGTCGAGGCGCACGACGGTGCACCAAGGGATGTGCGGTAAAAATTTGCTGTGCATCGTTCGATTACCGCTGGCGCGAAAACGGTCACATGCTCAATTTGGTAGGTTCGCACTGTCAGACTTTGCGTATTTTCCTGATTCGCCTACGTGAGTCTACCGAGTCGCAAAGCCCATCACTGACCATACAGCTCACGTATTTTTTGTCCTTCACAGTTTGAGGTTCTTATCACGTACACTGCTGCAACCATTTTTTTTCTCTTTTTCGTTCTCACTGGTCTTGCCCAGTACTCTCGCCTCACGTTATGTTTCCCCCCCCCCCCCCCTCTTTCCCAGCCATAGTCTTCATCATTATTTAATTCATTTGTCTTCCTTGTGCTGGTGGATGTTTTCCTTGACACAGCTCTGCAGACTATCGGTGCTGTGGAATCGGTGCTCGACGATGTAAAGATCCCAGAACATTCCAGCTTCTCACCAAATACTAAAAGGCTGCCCATCGACCGACCGCATGAATGGCTACATTCGCTCCTTGCTCAAAATTTCCTGTGCCCCCGCAATCCCGCCTGCGCGGCGACTGCCCCGCCCCCTAACCCACGCGAGCCATGCATTGCGGAAAAGCTCCCTGCTCTTATCGCTCGATAAAGGACCATTATAATCTGAAGATGTGAGCTATAAACTAATAGAACTTAGTGAGTTCTGCGAGGACTGTTGTGATGGTATTAGATTTAACGGACGCCCAAATAACTCGCAGGCTTCGTAGTACATGTTTTCATGTTACCTTCTAGATCGGGGATTTTTTTTGCTTGTTCCGGACTTTTGGGCGGAAGTGGTGCAGTGACAAGTGGCGCGCTCACCACGCGAGCGGTCCGGGATCAAATCCTGGGTCGTGAGTCGCCCGGGCCAACCAAGCCTTCCATCCCTCCGGGGTCGGTTAATTGGTACCAGACTTGTCTGGGAGGATAAAAACACTGACTTGTACATCGGCTGGCCCCCGCAAGTCATTGTATAGGCCACATCGCATTCAAAAGCCACTGCGAATGTACAAATGGAAGTAGAATGCGTGCCGCATCCCAAAAGGGATTGATCAACGGCAAATGCTTTATCCTTTTTTTTATCCGACCTTCAAAGGATTCAATAAAAGAAACATCAGAAAGTTGAAATGAAAATGAAGGCTCCTTAATTTGTTCATCCCGCAAAATCGGACCACCATTCCGCACGTTCATTTCCATTCTGGACAAGCCACCGACAGACATAATAGGGCGTTTGGACAAAGTAAATCGTTGCTCATAGCAATCTACCAATCGTTCAACATTACCCGACGAGTCGCAGTCGACAATAACCTTTAGTAATCATCAATGGGATGGGGGGGGGCACGTCTGCAGAGGTTTGTTGTCTCTTACAATTCAAAGCCAATGATTTGCAAAGGAGGAATTACCCGTCGCTTTCACTTTTACACCTACCCCGATTTTCCTTCCCCAGCTAAAAAGCGGATTGCTCAATTTATGTGATCTATCCGCCACATTCTCCCCCCGTTCCCCGCCTCCCTCCCACCCTGCATTACTGAATGAGACCTTAAATTTTTCCAAGAAAGTTTAACTCCAAAGTAATAGAGATGAGAGGTAAATAAAAAGAAATCACAATGGGATTCTATAGCAGCGGTAGTAAGAGAAGAGTGGTTGAATACACTCAAGATAGCACTGGATTTGAATGGTGTGCTCACCGAGCACTTGTTTTCCTCAATAATCCCCAGAGAAGAAATTTAGCTTAATGACTGGACGCTAAAAACAGCTGTGACTGAGATGTACTAAATAAAAGAAAGATCTCTATCCTACAGAGGTGATCTCGAGATTAGCTTTTCCTCCCACGTCACTAGCCATTACAAATACTCAACGCACTCCCCTAATCATGCTGTGACTAGCAGCCTAAACATCATAAACCACTCATACGATGATTGCAGCGCTCAAGGGCGGGCGGAGCGACAAGGCTTTCAAAAGCGGAAGCCTTGCCAACCTACTAGGGCCGGCTCCTCGGTGGCGGATGCGGCACGTTTCGCTCCATAGGGCCCGGCTTCTCTGTATAGGAGGCCCTTTGCCCTTGCCCGACATACAACTTTTCGTGCCAACTGATTTCAAGGGTGAAAATCTTACAGATTGTAGATGTCGAATTCATTTCGTTCCGGTCTGTGGGTTGTTAATTGCAATTTGCAGTTACATCACAATCGTGGCATGATTATTAGGCTTGCAAATGAAAGTAGAGTTGCGCAGTGGACGGCCGGTGGAGGAAAAAGAAGAACATGAAGAGAAGCCGCTGAAGGCAATGAATCTGTTTTTTAAAAACCTGTTATCGGGAGTTGGGCGCGCTACTATAAAGAGACTCTAGGAGCCGAGAAGAGGGGAACATAAACGGATGAGTGAGAGGAAAAATTCCGCCACACTGTTGTGCGGCGCGAATGAAAGTTGCAGCCACTTGCAAACAAGTGATGAGGCATTTGCACCATCTCATGTCTCTGTGGATAGTCCTACCCTGCTCTCAGAAGACTTATCTACTCAGATACATCGTAGAAAATGCTTTATGAGGCGGAATCATTTATTACAGGTACTGTATACGCAGCTCGTGCTGGGAACAATCTCTATGGGATAGACGTTGAAGTGGATTATCGAGGGAGGTGGATTATCGAGGAGAGGAAGTTACTGTGGAGAATTTCATTCGCCTTCTTACTGGACGTCATCATCCGGCCACACCTCGATCAAAGCGTGCGGACTACAGTATGATTCTTCTCAGCAAATGTTTATTGCGCTCAGTTTTATGTTCAATATCTCTGTGTTATAAGATTAAATTGGTCAAGGAGAGTGCACGAAAAACCATAGAGTTGCGCTTCGAGGTGTGGACGCCAACACCACAAGTGATGACAGTCCAATTAAATCAGGATTGCCAGTGTTCTAGTGTTGAGACGTCTCGTATGGATGGTAAGGTATTTCAGTAATGGATGATATAAATAATGAGTTCTCATGCTGACAGAATACAATTGGCAATCGGCTGTCATTTCAGTTTTGGCAAAAAAAATCTATATTTTGTAGGAACGCATCGCATTGTGGTGTTGGTCTGTTGACGGTATCCGTTTTCGAAGGCGGAGGTGCTTGTAGATTTGATTCTTGGGCAAAAAACCGTTTTTCCAAGAGGAAAGTTGACAATATTCTGGTTTATGATAGATTATGAGAGCGATTGGGAGACAGGTATCGACTTGTTATAACATAGTATGAACATGGCTTCAAATGGTGGCCTTTTCGAAGAAGGCGCAATAACTTATAAATTGAACTATCTGTGTAGAGACAGCAACTCAGATTACATGAGAATCCTATAAAGGGATTCACCTCTAGGGACAAAAGAATGAGACGTAAGTTCAACAATGAAAAAGTGAGCGAAGTGGAATATACGTTGCTAGCACTCGCAATGTGAGTGCCGTTTGATGGCAATTCGGTATGGATGAACTCACTGTAAAAGTGACTGTGCGCGCCTTCGAGTGAACTTGTTCAGTGTGATCAAAACTATGAAAGTCTGTGAATCCTGATACTTTCATTCTGAATCTACCACGGAGTGATAATAGACTCACTAATCTGGGTAAGGAAGTCAATCTTACAAACAACTCAATAAGACCCACTCTTAGCCTATACCATTGGGTAGTTGGTCGAGAAGGACTGTCAAAGTCAACAGGTAGCGTGCTTAATAATTATCGTTAAGGGCTTTCGTGAATTAAGCGTGTGTCCCAGGAAATCTATCAGAAAGACAACCTCGTACTTTTGCGCCTAAAACCATCTACTTAGAACCTTTATGTTCAACTTCGAGCTAATCTGTTTTTGTTCAGATTTACCTCACTGGTCACGGTGGTGATAGTTTTCCTGAAATTTCAAGACGCTGAAGACTTGACAACGTCGGACGGTTATGCATAACGCGATTGTTAGGATAACAGGTATGGTTTAGTAGCTCCTCATTCGTTTGAGCGGATTCCTGAAAAGATAATCGGCACTTGTTGTGTGTTGTCTTCTCAAGCCTAGCGTAAGTGTGGAAGAGTTCCAATAAGATCAAGGGGGTTTGGGGAGTAAACAACTGGTTCTAGTTCCGTTCGGATAATGATGAGGTTGGCGGTGTGAAGGCCTATAAGAAGAATACGAAAGGAAAAAGAATAAACACCGAAAATATTCATGGGGTTCTTTCGTTACGTGTTTGATGAATCTAAGCAGGGATAATGTTTAAGTTCCTATGAACTTTGAGAGGAACGTAGGATTATTCAATATGAGTCTGTTGAGTTGAGCTGCCGAGGTACTGAAAGAGTGCCTAAAAGTGACTTCGCGAACTTTGTGGAAGAGGGTGAAAGCATGCGAAATTTAGCAAAAGAACGTAATGATGAAGTGCATCCTATGTGTGAATGCGATTGCTTTTTGCCTGGAACTGTTCTATAAGAATAGAGAGGTGCCCTGGTTACGAATATGAGACTGTTTTTGGCAAAGAGCCACGGCTACTGTGATTGCATTAGGTAACGGTTACGTAAGCTCACCAATATCAACAACAACTTCTGTCGGTCTATCTCCTCAGTAACATTATATCCAGGTTCGTCTGTGGGCTCAAGTCTTATTAGCGAGTTTCGCGTAGCATTTTTTAGTGTCCTATTTTTAGTGTCCATATTTGTAATCAGCATTCATGACTGTATCAATACATATAGGCAAGTGCCGATCTGGCACTTGCATCGTCGGGAGGGACCTTTCTGATGAAGGTGACCGCAGGTTGTACCTTTGGTTGCTGTATTGCGGTGTATAGCAAATATAGGAGAGAAGGTGATCTCACTGGTATGTGCAGTGCGTTATCCGAGTGGAGAATAGAATGAAATCAATGGTATAGAGGGGAATATCTTGGACATTTGAAATGTACTGGGTTCTTAAAACGCTTCAATAATCAGATGTGGTTCAAGCTGGAATGGATGGCTAGTCTTTGTGATCACTTGAGCGCTAACTGCATCTTGGCAAGCGCGGAGCGCTGAAGGACCAGTCTGCGGCGGATTTTGCATTCGGATTCCGTAGCTATGAAAGGCTTTCAATGGATGCACGGCTTTTACAGTCGCCTGTGAAGGCCGTGCATCCCTTGATCCTTACAGTGAATACCGATGGAGATGGATACCACACCCTGTAGGAGCTCCTAGGAATAACGTCGCGATGGCTCTATCCTCGCCTACTTGTATATCTGTCTCACATAGTTTTCGCGCTGATTCACGAACATATTCGTAGTTTCCGAGAACAAACAGCTCTAATGTTATAAACTATGTAGTGTATATATTGGTGCGGATTCCACACGTTCAAGGTCCTGCACTGGCGGAGATTGCGTGCACCTGGGGCCGTAAGGTATGCTTCCCCGAAGGGTTAGGGGACGAAAATCCCTTTAAATTTTCTCTGTCTTCCCAACTGGGATTGTCCTGATAAAGGGCCTACATTTAATATATGTGTGTAGGTTAAAGTAAACATGCATTGAAAATGAAGAAACAGTATCGTTCAAAACAAAAAAATTTAAAGGGATTTTCCCCCAACCATTCGGGGAAGCATACCTTACGGCCCCTGAACTGTCGCAAGATCTAATACATGACAACGAGATGGTTATTTCCAACTAACGGCATTCTTATTCAGGTATCATGAAATGTTTTTGATTGCTGACACTTGTCGAAGCGCTTCGATGTACGAATGGGTGTCGAGTCCTGGCGTGCTTTCTTCCAGCAGCAGTTTGACACATGAGGAGAGCTACTCGTACGATGTAGATGACGAAATCGGAGTATACGTCATTGATAGGTAGAGTGAAGTAATTCTTCATTAAAGGAGAATTCCTCGATAATGGCGAAGGTCGAATAAGGGGAAAATTCCTGAGTGAAGAGAAAGGCGGACGTCCAGGGTGTGGGCCTACACGCAATTCGCATCGAATGACATGCCCCTGCCATCATGGCCTTTCCCGCGGCGCTATTGGCGCGGTTATCGGCGCGGTACGCGCTGTCTGGGTCTTTAGCGGTTTAGCGGAGA